TAACTGTCTGCTGCTTTCAAATGCTGCAATTTCAGCCAAAAAATGACCAGGTTAATGCTTATAGAGCAGGCTAACTTTTTTTTAGCTCACCTCAACGAAGTCGACGTCGTAGTCCCGGGTTAAGGTTAAGTTTTTTGGAGCAGTTTTCTTTTCAAGTACTTCTTATGTCCTATATTGATTAGACATGCATGGAAGATGTTTCTTGTGTGTTTCATTGTACCAGTCAAAGTTTCAGATGCTGCAATTTCAGCAAAGGAATGACCAGGTTAATGTTTTTGGAGCAGGTTAACATTTTCGTAGCAGTTTTTTGGTGTAGGTCTCATTTCCGAGTAACTGTAAGCCCTATGTTGACCAAACTTGCATGGATATTACATCTTAGGATGCACACTACCAGACTTGCTTCGGATGCTGAATCTGACCTACATTTTCCGGTTGAGTGAACAGGTTTATGTTTTCGGTGCAGGTCTCATTTCCAAGTAACTATGAGCACTATAGCGACCAAACTTGCATGGATGATACGTCTAAGGATGCATACTACCAGACTTGCTTCGGATGCTGAATCTGACCTACGTCAGGTAAGGATGCATTTCCAAGTTACTACCAGACTTGCTTCGGATGCTGAATCTGACCTACATTTTCCGGTTGAGTGAACAGGTTAAAGTATTTGGTGCAGGTCTCATTTCCAAGTTACTATGAGCCCTATAATGACCAAACTTGCATGGATGGTACATCTAAGGGTGCATTCTACTAGGCTGGCTTCGGATGCTGAATCTGACCTACATTTTCTGGATTCGTGGAAAGGTTAGTTTTTATACAGGTTTCATTTCCAAGTAACTTTGAGCTCTATGTTGAGCAAACTTTCATGGATGATACATCTTTGGATGCACATTAATGGACTTGCTTGAGATGCTGAATTCGACACACATTTTCCAGATAATGGACCTTGTAAAAGTTATGGGTGCAGGTCTATTACCAAGAAACTTTAAGAATTATATAAACCAAACTTGCACAAATGATGCATCGAGGGATGAAAACTCTCAAACTTGCTTCAGATGCTGGATTTTAATTACGTTTACATGATGAAGAACTAGTTTGAAGTTTTTATATAGTTCTATTCCAAAATATCAAATCAAAATTGCATAAATTTTGCATTTTTTGGATGTACACTTTTTGTTGGTTAATTGTGTGACTTTGCCTTACTTAAAGACAACATTCGTTGAGGTGAGCTCTGTAATCTCTGATTACCTATGTTTTTAGCAGGTATCGTTTTAAAGTTTCAAACCCACTCTACCGCCGGGGGTCATAATTTGAACAAACTTGAATCTACACTACCCAAGGATGCTTCCATATAACTATGACAAATCACAACTTTGCTGTTCTCAAGAAGATTTTTCTATGTAATCCTACTTTGATGACCCATAATGGCCCCACCCTTGCCCCAGGGGTCATGATTTGAACAAACTTGATCGAATCTTCACTACCAGAGAGTGCTTCCATATAACTATGACCAATCATGGCTTTGCTGTTCTTGAGAAGAAGATTTTTCCAATATATTTCTATGTTTAACTTCAATACCCCACTGTGGCCCTATCCTACCCCCAGGGGGTCATGATTTGAATAAATTTTAATCTACACTACATGAAGATGCTTCCACCTAAGTTTCATCTTTCCTGGCTTATTGGTTCTTAAGAAGAAGATTTTTAAAAGATACCATTAATTTATTACTAATTCGTAATTATCTCGCCCTGGAAGAGGGTGTGGCCCTTCATTTGAAAAACTTGAATCCCCTTCACCCAAGGATACTTTGTGGCAAGTTCGGTTGAAATTGGCCCAGTGGTTCTTGAGAAGAAAATGAAAATGTGAAAATTTTATGACAATGACAACAACAACGACAACAGATAACAGATGTGATCAGAAAAGTTCACTTGAGCCTTAGGCTCAGGTGAGCTAAAAATTATAAGCCCTGGATGATGCATCAAAGGATGGACATTCTCAAACTTGCTCCTGCAATCTCTGTGGACCTATCATTTAGTTGCTTGAGAAGGTGAGCACTTGTGAAGCAGCTTGCTTTTTAACTAGTATGCAATGAAGCAAAATAAATACCTGTAGGTATAAAGCAAACCACTGTTATTAATATACAAGTAGTCATAAACAATATTTTCACTGGCCACCAAAGCGGCATTTCCTAATTAATTCTTGACTTCGCTTTTCAATGACTGCAACTCTCTTCTGCATTAAATAAGACGCCAGAGTGTGCATTTGTTGCATTTTCAGCCTCAGCTACTGAATAACTCAAAATCAGATGTAATCTACTATTCCAAACTTCTGGACTGGGCTACTTCAATGAGAATACAGACTGGAGAAGCAAAATTTGTAAAACAAGAAAGTAAAACTAACAACAACTACATAAGATCACATTCAATACTGGCTTTATTTAACTTCTAAGAAAATACATCTTTTTTCTGAAGAACAGTAACAAGGTATATCTCCGATATAACATCAAAAACAGAACAATTCCATTTCTTAAGGCAAAATATTCATCAGTAAGGTCCCATAACTCTTCAGGCATCATTACCTAAAAATATTCTAATGCTGTTTAAAAAACTTTTCCTTCATAAAGTTGGAAACTTGGGAAAAAGCTGAGTGTGAACTTATTTTGAAGATGATTTGAATATTATGGTAGGAGTGATGGGACCTTGCTGATGGATAATCTACCTTGATCAAATTCTGGAAATAAATAAATTTAATATTTCAGGGAGACCCAAGACAGCACTATTAAATGTTCATAATACAGAAAATTCAGAAATCTGCTAAACAGTGATTGCTTTTCTTGTAAGTTTTTATAATTATTTGTGTCATCGAATTTTTAACCCTCTGTTGTTAATGGCTAACTTTAAGCCAGTTTACCTACTTAAAACCAAGCAATACAATTCTGGTTCCAAAACTGTATTAAAGGGAACATGCTTCCTAACTAAACAAAGTAAAAATACAAAGGGAAAGAGCAAGGATTTCATTTTTGAACGGGGTATTTGGATATTAATAGCTGTGATATGAAGTCTCTGTATAAAATATGAAAAAGTATGATAAATCTATATTAACAAGCACCTTGCATTATATATATCATCGATTTTCGTCTAACAAAAATAAAAATTCATATTTTTCCCCAACAGAAAATTACCTCTTAAATTTAATCTGAAAATCATCAGATGAATAAAAGTAGATAAAAGTAGAGGAAATTGAAATCACTTAATACTAAAGGGAGAGAAAGAGAAAATATTAGAGTGCCAGTTCTCTGTTCAATCTAATGAAATAAGCATTAACAAATCTCCTTTACATGTAAGTTTTACACCCCATTCCTTCTGATTAATTATTGAATTAAAGTAAACCTAGTGTCTGGAATTTTAAGATAACATCAAGAGTATTGAAAAAAAAAAACCAAGAACAATATTATTTTTTTTCTAAAAACAAAGTATACTTAAATAATAATAATGATAATTTAAACCCCCAGGGTTGAAAATTACAGATGTCACAGAATTATAAAAAAAAAACCCAAAATTTTAAGAAATTTGAAATCTATTTAAAATGCTGCTGCTAAAGTGAATATTAAAATTAAAAATAAATTGGACAATAGAACTCTTCATCTTAAGAATAAATTTTGAAATTCTCCCAATTACAATGTGTATCCTCTTTGTTATATGGATTGTATTTAGTTAATTTGAAAAGTCTGTTAGAACTGATAAAATTATAGAAGTACTAAAATATTAAATGTCTACAATAAAATAAACAGAAAAAAGTTGCATTTCAGGTAACAGACTAAAGATAAGACTTTAATAAGTGAAGAGTTAGTCAGAAGTTATTGTTGAAGTTCTAGTGACCATTAGATCTAAACAGACAAACATTAATAAACCATGTCCAGAACAAGATAGAAACCAAAGGCATGTTCATATCAGTCACTAGAAGTTTTAGGTTTAAATTCAAGATTTTCAGAAGTTCTTACTTTTGAGATATGTCATACATGAAAAGGTTGACTCCGTTGAAGAAATATGTAGAATTTAGGATTTCCATCATTATAAAATCCTCCAATAAAGTATATATAATATGTATAATATATATATATAATCTTGTTCAAAATGTATAAAACAAAAATAATGTTTACTAATGAAAGATGAAGCCTGTGTGAATTGTGAATGGAATGATATTATCTGGGTATATCTATCACTGTAAACCAGGAATGTCTCTACACGTCTAACAACTACAGTGGTGTGAAAATGATATTGTGACGGCATGATTCAAATCTTTTTCTTTTCTGTTCTCTTTTTTTACATTTTTTTTTTCTATTATTTATATTTTTTTTCATTTTTTCTTTTATTTTGATTTTTTTTGTCTTTTAAATTTGTTTTAACCTTTTTTTGTTTTTTTTTTAGCTTAAAATTAACTCATGTAAACCATTCATTTTATAAATCTTTTTTTTTCTTTTTTTCCCTTTTTAATTTTTTTTTTTAAATTTTCACTTTTTGATTTTTTTTTTACATATAAATTTTTAATTTTTACATTTTTTTTGGTTGTTTTCCTATTTTGTATTTTTTTTCCATTTTATTTTTTTCCATTTCATTTTTTTTTTTTTTGATTTTTTTTTTTTTTTTTTTTATAATTTAAATTATAATTATTTTATTCTATGAATGTATTTTAAGCAAATGCAGGTTTGAATATATTCTGGTTCCAGTTGGTTGGTTACTAAGAGATGCCATACAGCATCCTTATCCCCAACAACTCAAACCAAAGTCAGATTGGCAATATAGGATTAAATATAACTATTAAAGATAAATATATATATAATAAGCTATGTACAATTCTAGTCCTTGGTTTACAGTGATAGATGTGCATCTATTGTTTTCTCTTACTACATGAGCTCTGAAGTCTGATTAATGAATTCATGTTACAATTAATAAATAAAAAATATGGTACAAAAAAATCATATCCCTTCATAACCAACCTGGTCATTTTCAGTTTTCTTCAGGCAATAACAGTTGTAAATCATTATATCCATATACTGAGTATACGAAAAAATAATTTGCTAAATTTTAATCGCTACCCGTGAAAAAGTTTGTGTACAGTTATGAAACAATTAAGAAGAAAACCCGAGAAAGTGATAACTTCATAAAATCAGGCTCTGATTCTTACAAAAAATACATTATACAAAAAATCTTAAAATGCACAGCTACAGAATTTCTTGAAATATAATGGCTCAATATATATGTAGTTACAAAGATGAAAACAAATTCAAATATCACAATTAAACTACAATAAAATAACCTGAGGTAACATGGGCACCTGAGAAAACTGAAAACAAGTGTAGGTCCCCATCTGGCTGAGCATTGTAATGTGTTATATCAAAGCCAAATCTTCTGTAATATGCTCGTACAAAGAAGAAAAAATAATCTGCAATAAAACAAAACAGTTCTACACTGCTGTCCAGATGAAGCTGAATTTGTTAAAACTAGTTATACACATTTTACACTCTATTTCTTTGCCTAAAAAATTTAAATAAATGGAATTATTTTCTAAAATAAGATAACAATTATATGCATAACACATCACAATGAAGAGCCCTGGCTATACAGATCTATGTAATACTTAACTTCTTAACCAATTTAAATGCACCGATTAAAAAAACACAAACCAACAAATGTACATGGCATACATATATAGGTACTTGGAAAACCCAACAATTCTGGAAAACAAGCAAGTCAGCAATGATCGCTGGCATTACACTAATTAATATACATAGCTATCACACCTCGTCAAATTACACAGCTCTAATTAATTCATACTTATATCTAGGAATATACATTAACACTCTGTTTAAAAATCCATAACATCAACAATTTGTATGTACAGGGTTGATGCACATATATACAGTTTATCTATGGATATAAAAAGAAATCCCACACATTTCTGTAACAATCATACAACCAATTATCATTTTGACTCTCTTTTTCTGTTGCCTTTCTTTAATTTGTTATCTTTTTTCTTTACTGCAGACCAAAATGAGTGAATTGAAAAATCTATCGCTGCTATTAGACTGAGTGATCCTGGCTGATAAAAGAAAAGTGTCCTTTGTTAAAGATAGGCCTCATGACAAAAATACATGTATATCACATGTAAGATATAAAATTCCACATTTTTGTTTTTTTGCCCCTAAAAAAGTATTTCAGTTTAGAATGAGAATTAAAATTTACACAGAGTATCCAAACCATCATTTGTATCAGCCAGGGTCATTTGTAGAGAAGGAGACATATCATCTGCCATGGACGGACATCAGTGCAGAAATCTGCATGAGCAGATAGAGTTAAATATGACTAGTAAATTTGCATCATGATAATTGGTCCATATTCATCCAATCACAGAATACACAAAAAGTCATTCATAAGAAATTTCTAACAAATTTTGTTTTTCACTAAGCTGTCATATTCACTGAGTTCAAACTTTCTATCAAATAAACTGGGGGAAAAAATCATAATGGTTTGGATAAACAACAAAGAGGTGGGAATGAATGGACAACTGTTTGACCCTCATGTGAGAAACAACTGGGGATCCAAATGGTCAACACCAGCAAGCAGCAGTGAAGGACCAACAGTTATATGGTTAAAAAACTATGAAGGGGGAATCTGTCATATAGAAGTCAAAGGATTTGTTCAGGGAAATCCCCCTATATATTTTTGCTGCCTTCAGACTAGGGCCAATAACTACTATGGGAAATGGCAAAATATTGGAATGAAAGGATTGTGGGGGGAAATTATGTAGCCTGGTCTATCATCAATGAAACAAAGTTGCAGATTTGGCACAATGTTTAGCACTACTGATGCTAACAATTGGGGGTAAATACAGAAGATTTGTTACAAGTTCCAATATGGTTCGGTATGATGCAGGTAATTCCACATCTATTTGCATATAATTTGAATATGATTAAGTATGTAACAATTTCTCACCCTTTGTTGTAAAAGGGTATACTTTACAACAGAAATCTTAAAGAACTTGTAACAATTCTCTGCATGCATGTGCATACCTTGGGAAAAAACTTGGAAAACAAAAAATAAAATGTCTAACTACGATAGCTTTGAGATCTGGATAAGATTACGACAATTTTTTCCACCTTATACACACAGTTATAGCACACAGGTTACAATGTCTGTGTTCTATGCACATCACACATATGTCATGATATACAGAAAAAAACTTTAAACAAGAAAGAATTAAAAAATCAAACAACAAAAATTTTACACAAATCTAACTTTGCATAATTATACTAAAAATATACCATGAACTGCATCTGCTCTCTAATCTTAATCTGTGAAAGCTTCTTTAATTACAAAATATATCACATGCTTGTCAAGAAAAAAAAACCTTAACACTATTTAAGAGTTATTTCCCTTCCATTTTCAACGTCAAGAGTCCGCCTCCAACATTTCCAGGAAAAGCTTGTGCATCATGATCCTTCCATCTTTCTTCACATCAAACCAGTACTGCTTGGCAAGCAATTTCATGTGATTTAGAGCTGGGAGAAGCATGTATAGATGTCCTAATCGGCGGAGATTACCCACGTAGCGGTATTTGACATATTCAATCAGGGAATCTTGTAATTTGTCTTGGAGCTGTCTCACTGCTTCGCTATTCTCAATTGCCACATCTAAAATGATTTTTTTTTCATATATAATATGTTTGCCACAGCATCATGGTTCTAAAATTATTTTTGAAACATTATTCACTGATATTGGTATCTGTTTTTATACCTACAGAAACCTAGTTATCTCAATCAATATAACCTAGCTGTTGGTGTGAATACAATGATGAGTTACAAATAAAATTTTGTTAGTTAAATGATCCAATATACCTATATTGCATAAAGTCATGGCTTTCAGCAGGAGATATTCTTCCTTTGTGACCTCCATGTCGGTGAATTTTTTGGCAAGTTTCCGTGACAGCCCGTCAAGTTCTGGAGAGCAGTGACAGAGTTTACACTCATCGACAGAGAGTTGAAGATCCTCAGCAAATTTGAGGTAGCCATTGTAAGGACAAGAACGGAATACAAGATTTAAACATAGGATTTCCAACCATGAATGCTGCAAAAGGTTCATCTGGTCACTGAGGGATAGGGTGCAGAATCCTGCAAAAAATTTAGACAAAGTCAGAAAACATACGTCTTCTACAGGGTGCACAGTTTTGTCACACATTTTTAAGCTAAAATTCTCTCAATGGACACTATAAATATTTTCCCTAACATGATGATGTTTTCCCCTTCTTTTATTAAAAACACAACATATTAGCTTAACAAAAAAATTAAAACTGTCTTAAGGAACTTGACCTTTAGATCAGTTGGATGGTCACTTACCTGGGACCTGTTTAGCCCAGCTGATGGTGATCACCAGCTCTCTGTCAGCCAGATCAGATACAGTGGCAAGAAAGCGCACCTCCTCTCCCCCCTCCAGGATTTCTGACTCAGTATTGACGTACAGTTTGTCTAGCTGATGCTCGATGCTTATGAGTTGTGACAGAATTTTGTTATCTGAAGAAAAATCTACAGTACAAAAATAGTTGTAAATACAGGTATATGACCAAAATACAAAATTAAGGGGGATAAATGACCCTTAGTTTGATAAGATTTCAGGACATATGTTTGACTACATCATCATTGATGTATATTTTAATTGTGTCAGCTGGTACCTGACTTAGTGGTTTCTACACAGGCTTTCTTGATCATGGGAAAAATCTGCTGCACAATAGGGCCAGAGTCGATGGTGCGCTTGTACTTCTGTCTTCCTCCACGGACTCGATCCAGACGAACCCCTACAGAAAAATTTTATGAAAATTACATAATGCATTATTTTTCAAGCATTACTTATTTAACTTTACTTAAATTATGATGACACAGGGTTTTCATCATTGATTATCTTGGTAAATATTGCCATCTGTCTTTTCGATATTTTTTGTATAAAGCTGTACACTGCCTCACACCAATCTTGCATTTTTAATGCTGTTTACTTTTTACATAAACTTACAATTTTTTAAAAAACAGTTTCTAAAGGTACACTGTTACTTATTGTTGTTAGTTTTTTAAAATCACTGGGATCTGTTTATCTAGATTGAATTGTAATTTTTGGGTAACTTGTTCCTTTTGTTCTGTTTATTAATTATATGGGGTACGTGTTTGGTTTGAACAAAATAAAGCGATAACCCAGACCAATAGCAGTTGGGAATCCCTAGGTCAACATTTATCTGTGTGTTTACAACCTAATACTTTTCCATAGAATAAAACATGGCTTTCTCTACTAGCATTATATATATTTTTTTTTTTTCTTCTTCCCAATGAATGTAAATAAATATTTCTCTCTCTTCTGGCATTTTTCCCACCTTCGCCTCAAATACACAGATTGATTAGATTTTCTAGACATTGATTTCATTCCATTTTGAACCCTTCCATAGTTCATTCACTGCATGCTCTTTGGCAGTATTGGCAGTTTCACCAGAATAAAACAAAATTTATGGCTTAAGGCAGTTTCTGCAAAAGATGTCTTGGAAAGCTAATTTGTATGTGGTATGATGTATCAATTATACTTGTAAATGCTAAAAATCAATTGCCTGACTTTTACAAAATAAACTCATTAATGCATACCGTATAAACTGTTCTTTTTGTCCAAATTAGGATGTCAGTGGGGGGAATTCACATAAACCAAAACCTGGGATTTCTATTATACATTTGATTAAATCTACATATCTTACATCAATGCACTACAAATTGTTTGCCACAAATAATGGATCACCCATTTTTTGCAGTATATCATGTTTCTCTCTCCCGCTTTGATATTTCCTTTTGTCATTATCTAATACTTAAATATTACTGAATTATCTGGTCACCAAACGTCAAGTTCCCGACTCCACTGATTGTACTTGACTTTGATAAAGAGAGAGACTGATGCACTCCCCAGCACTTTCCCAATAAACATCAGTACCAGCTCTCCACAAAACACCTTATTCTTGTCATGCCTCTCTCGGGGTTCAAGTGCACCATTTTTACAAAGTACAGGTGACATGATTACCTCATAGTAGGACATATAAGGTTTACACTGCCTTCCTGTCCACAGTCATCAGATCAGACGTGTAACTAATGTCATCAGCCAATGCTACTACACGCCTCTACCTGATCTCCTCGACAGATGTCCATACCTTACTTCTGATCTTACAAACTAACATCTAATTTGAATGAACAAAAAAATTCCCTCAACCTCTTAATTTTATCTTGATCTGTTCAACCTTGTCTCCCAATGTGATACAAATTTTTTTGGTTTTACTTTTTCATTTCCTTGCTAATTTGGTTTAAGTCCAGTCTAGAAGGTTGACAAGAAATGATCAGCTACGAATTGAATCCTAGTCTGCTCTGGTATCTATTTGGGCCTTTCTATTTCTGTCAAGACCCCCCATACTCCAAATATTGACTCTGTCACCAGTCAAAGCCCCCACATAATTAACCTATCCATCTCCAGTCTCTGACTTCATTCCTGTCTAACCCAATAGCATCACTGTGATTGTACACTCAGGTTGTCATCCTACTGATTCTACGAGGTTAAGATCTAAACAAACACCATTCCACAAAAATAAACAATAAAAAATGGATATCTGAATAATGTCCCATTAATGATCAGGTATTCCAAATTCTGAGCATAAATATTCTACATCTTAACTGAAGAAGCAATTCTGATCACGAACAGTTTACAAAAGGACTTAAAGAACATTCTACAAAATACAGGCTCAGCTAGTGCTCAATGTTTATAATATTTAATGCAACAAGCTCTTTTCATGTAATAAATTAAACATTATGTCCAATAGCTGTGAGATAATTCCCCCTGGGATGAAGAGTTTGCTTGCAGTGACAACCATTCATCAATTAACACAAGCACCTTGTTAGCTCTAGGGGGATATATATACATATAAAATTAATGGGATTGTTTCCGAGATCTGTTGTTTCTGTATCTTCAACCCCAATTCATGTCAAGGCTACACAACCCTTGGCTTTAAGGCAAATATACCACTGCATCCATGGACATTAGTTCATCCATCCCCTATGATAGGCTTAGAAGCTACATAATACATTAAGATATTGAAAAATGATAGAAATGACCAAGAGAATGAGCAGAGAGAAAGGTAAGACCACTCAGTCACTACTCTACCACAGTCAGATGACCTGATATGGTTGACATGTTCACCAAATTGGCTGAGGCTGATGGTTCTCCCCGACCAGACAAGGCCATGGTGACAGTCTCATTCATTATACTAAATCTGTCATTATAGGCCTGGAAAAGCATGACCTGTATAATTCAGTACCAATAAGTTCACTCTTCTGACCAGTCCAGAAAATGGACCCTCCGACTACATGTGCAGACAATGACTTCAAAATCTCACTTCAGTTTTTATCATATATAAATCATTGCAAATTCTTTGATTGTTATATATAATTTTCAAGTCTCTAAATAAATTATTAACATAATTAACCCCTTTGCCCTAATGCTTTACTTGCCAAGGCCTTATTCACAAAGATTTGACAACATGGGAATTGAATTCTGCACGATTCCTGTTTTGTCCAATCTTCTGTAGTATATATGATTTATAGTTTCTTGGTATGAACAACAATGCATACTGTATGATTCAGGTATCTGTTAAGTGTGTCATGGCCACGAGTTTCTCAAAATTCTACAATTTTTGTCCGCTGCAATGAAATTTTATCGGAAAGGACATAAAACTTATGCAGTTTTTCTTTTTTAGGTATGAATGCATCTTTTAAATAATTTTTTTTCTCTACTATTGTGTTGAAATTCCTCTTAGATCCATATGCTCATTTATTTTTTTATGTACTATAATATGTATAACTAGATAAAAACAATCTAATACCTGAAATTTTTTTTAAAGTGAAAGAAAGATAACATATCAAATTTGAATCTCAAAATTCAATGCACTATTATATGTAATCATTTAATATATTATTTGACTTTTAGTTTATTTGAGGTAATTTTCCTACTATTTATTCAAGCCCTGATACACTAAAAGCTAGCATCAAGGAGAAAATGATGACACTTAGAAAGATGACATCACTTTGATGAACTAGTGTGTTTTGAGTTGAGTTACTACTAATTACCTTCCAATACAAGTATGTGACTTTAATATAATCACTTTTTTCCCCAGATGAGTGACTTCAGTCAATCAGATATTTTTTGGATAGTCTGTTAAAGTTCTATTTTGTTTCCAGTTATAGTGACTAACTTATTTATAAATTCTCCTTTTATATCAGAGGTACATCATAAAATTGATCTTCAATATCATGACTTCCCATTATTACAGTGAATTGTACTTTCTATTCTTCTTTGTAGCACGAGAAGGAACTTGTTCATTCAATTACACATACCCCCATGTTACTGATGATCCAATTTACACAATGACTACAGAAAGTTGTTCATCAGCAATGGGAGCCAGGAAAATTCAGACACACCATCAGATTTAATTAACTTTGGAGAAAATTTCTCATGTTCTGGATCATAATCACTGGGAGTTAATTGATGTCTTGTCAACATTTAAGTTACGAAGTTGGTAGAAATTAACAGGGTTGACTGAGAGCATATCAAGTGCTGTGAAATGGAGAAATTGTATTTCCATGTTGCGACTCCGGAATAAAATAATAATTTCCTCAGAACAGAGACTCCATACAATAAACAGAGTGAGCCCCTATCTCCGGGTTGTGTTTGGAAACTTCTGACAAGATTTCCATCTCTTGATTGAACATCTTCCACCTGCCTTACCAGACAAATGAGACAATGAATCCATTACCAAACAATGTTGCCAAAGCAACAGAACTTTCCCTTCAAAATATTTTAGACACAATGTTAAACAGATGAATTTACTTGTAATTTAAAGCATTTTAACTGTATACTTCATGCATGTTACGGGTTCAGGTGTTGACCATGTTGCTCAAGAGAAAATTGAGGTGTGTCGAGGCATAGAATACAGCTGTAAGCATTTGGGGGAAAAATTGGCTAAATTCAGAAATCAATAAATCATAGAAGAAAGTAGAAATATAGATCTCTTTTCTGCAGAACATTTAGCCCTATTCAGCAGTTCTGTGAAGTAATAACAAAAGGATGAGACATCCTTGGTTGGGATTACTACATCAGCATCAATTTTGATTGGGATCACTTCAACTGACCCCCATAATGCACCAGCAAGAAACATCTAAAACATGTACCTTAGGATGTTTATAGTTTGACACTGCTGCAGAAACTAATGGAAAACCAATCTAATGCTACATCTACAGGAATCTGTTATTTGTGTTGGCTGGTGTTAATTGGATTCTGTCTGCTTAATTCATTTATTTTTTTTCTTCTTCTCTCCCACACTTTGCTACACAAGCCAGAATGTTGATAAAAAGTCGCCTTTCCTCTAAAAAAAATCCTCTACAAAAACCAAAATGTTTTTAAATGATCCCATCCCACTTATGAAAACATTTCCCCTGTTTTCTGGTCTGCTTTATTTATTCTCACAGAAAAAAGGGCTCAAACCGAACCCCCCTCCCCCCCTCCACAACTTAATCGCAGTACATCATAATACTGTTGTTGGTAGGAGAAACCTGTTGTCACCCTACTGCAGCGACAAGCAATGAAGTGTTTATCATCGGAAGTCGGAAGTTGCCTTTTCAATACATCAATCTCCTTAGGCATTGACATCACTCTACCAAACATTTGGCAAGAGGACCAAGGACAAATAGTTATACATGTTTGTAAGTTACTGACACCAATAAGGCACCTAATTACAAGCAGTTAGGGGTGATCAACGCTCCCAACCCTGCCTTCATGCTGTTATTATACTGTATACTCTTGTGCATGTAGGATCTAATGAGACAAAGATCTTGTGGTTTTATTGCCTTACTAACTTGTTTTCCACATGATTCAAAAACTTTGGCCCTATGGTAAACTGCATTCTTAACAAGAATGCATAGAAAAGAGGGACCAATCCTCACTCAGTTTTGATAGGGTTTGCTGATATTTAGATCCTTTTTTTACTTTCACAAATCTTGTAGGTTTTAACATGTTTATGTGGTTGGAGGATATAAGTGTATATGCACTTAGAGGATAGCAAGTACGTACAGATTAAAGAGAATGGAAATTAAATATAAATCAAGATCTGTGTATTAAGTACAAGGAAACTCAATTGTAAAATAAGTAGATTATAAAATATAAAGATTATGGGAGTGCAGAGTGGGCAATCTGTTGATAAGATCTTTTTCATTCCCTATTGTCTCAAGTTTACATATTGTGTAAAATCTTTATCATCTTGTCAGTGGTATCCTGTTATTTCGATCCTCAGCAAACCAATATAATATCAATCGAAATTTTTAATTATAAATGACTAATTACATCTAGTTCTTTATACATGCCTTTATACATTGCTGAGCATTTTCATTTTTCTAATATTTTTCTTCAGCTGGAGCTGGTGCAATTAAGTTTACACCTTGATTATATATATAAACTTGTAGTTCAGATTTAATTGTGAATTTAGAAGGTTTATGTCTTATTAATATTTACTAAATCTTATAAATTTGTCCTTAAATCAAAATTTCAACTCCAGTCTTCTCAATTATGGCTATAAACAGTCTTAATTTTCAGATCTGCATGAGGGCTTTTGACTTTATACATGTTGAATTCTGCTTATCACAACAAGCCATCTTGCTGGGAGAGATCGATAATAAATCATCGATTTGGATCTTAATCAATAAACACTTCACTAACTCAGTTTCAAATTATAAAATTTTATTATCTCATTCTTTAAATTTATTGAAATCTCAATGCCAAAAACTAAATTAGATTTGAGAAAAATGAGAGCTGCTCTCAGATCATCTCAAATTGTTGAACTTTTGAAAAATGTTTTTAAAAAAGACGAACTTATGAAATGATTTGATTCCTTGCCAGGGAACAGGTATAAATACTTTGTTGAACTCCTTTAGCCATCCTAAACTAGCTAATTTGTTCAGACTTGTGAATATTTTACCTAGAATTGCAAATTTGTTGAAATTTCCCATTTTTCACTTAAATGAATTTACAGGAAAGCCATTAATTTAATTCATACATTACGCATTTCATTAACATTTTTTTTTTTCAGATAAAGAAATGTGTATGCAAATATTTACTGAAATAATTTATGAATTTTGGCACTTTCTGAAACTTTAACATAATTGTGTAAAAAAAAAAGTTCACTCCCCAAAATAAATTGTGGTGCAAAACTGATGGCTGTGACCAGCTTATATTCACAGGGAAATTATCCTCATCTTACCTTCTCTGAGCATGCCCACTCGGAGACATTTTTGAAATCTGCATGCCTGGCAAGCCTTTCGCCTTCTTTTGGTAATTTCACAGTCACCATTGGCAGGGCAAGAATATTCAATATTTCCTAAAAAGAGATAAAATAGCATAGATTAATTAGTAAAATAGAACTTTATCTATAGAACAGCCAACTTGTTTTTGTTAAAATTGAAAAAGTATCAAAAACTTTCATAGACACTTGGAAAATTTCAGTATTTCATTTTGGATGAAATTAAAATTATATAAAATTTCTTGTTCTCAACTGTACAAATTGTATAATGCATCTCTGACTCTGGTAGCAAGAAATTTGTCTACAGCACTCAGTCTACTAATATCAGTGTCTGACTTGAAGTTCACACAGTTTAGAAGAAAAATGATAGGGGTTAGTGAGACAGCAAAATAGTTCTTAGGTTGCCAACAGTTAACTATCTGTCATCGCGTGAATTTTAATCATGTAATAAAATAGGCAATTTAACTAGACATAATACAAAGCATTGAAATCCACAGGGATTCATTGTCCTGCTACTCAGGATTTCTAAGTGTTTTATACATCATATGTATATACATCGTCTCCTGAGTGTGTCTTGGTTTGCCATAGAAATGTGATCTAGCTTCCATTGTGTCAGTCAGAAATCATATCTTTATGTACCTTAAACAATGTGTAAATACATACATGTAGTCAACATTTTTTAATCTAAATAGTTCATTTCTGAGGTATTGCTTTATTTGCAAACTTGATTTTAATGATATAGTACTACCAGTTAACTGTTACTTTAATACGTACAGAGAGCCAAAGAGCAAGACTTTCTATGCATACACTTCACAGAAAAGTGCATATAAAATACCACAGATGAATGCAAATAAGTGCACAATTGTACTAATCAGAGATGCCAACTTCCAGATTTCTGAAATGCTTCAAAATATGGCTGATTTATATTGCATTAAATGATTTAAATCAATCTATACATTGTACTTATGCAAATTGAAACATCAATTAAGATTGTCTCCTGTCTCTAGAACTGAACTTGTCTGACATTATAATGAAAGTGAAGTTTGGTGGTGTGATACAATCAATATGCGACCTGAATTCATCATTTGTCAGTCTGTCTAGCAATATGATTAGGTGCCATCAGATCCCATAAATATTCTCTTATACCCATAATACCACAAGGACAACTATTCATACATAGTTTAGAGTGGGTTGCTCTAATTTTATGTAGTCATTTTAGGCTATATATAGTAACAATTCAATAAATATAAAGTTTTGACAGTTTTAATATGATGGAGCATAAATCTGCCATTTTTGGTCTATTATGATAAGATTAGTCCAATTAGTACTCAAAAACTAATATTGATATTTACCTGGTAACCCAATTTTTTATACAGTTTTCATAATTTTTCATGACCAGTTAAGAGTTTTTCTGGATCATCAAATTTGAATTACTTTAAATGTAAACTTCTTACTGTGAGTACACTGTTTAATCCTTAAAGGATTAATGCCCTCCAATGATTTCAGGATTACCGGTGCCTTGAGTTTCCGAATAGATCTTCAGAAATTAATTGTAACTATATTGGGATGTCTCAATTCTAGAGACAAGACTGATTTCCAAATAAAGGTATATCGGGATATATGTATATACCATACAATTCTTTTAATTATAGATCAAATAACAGTGATGCGGAGTCTATGCCATAGACATGTTTTTTAATATCCAGCATACGTAGGGATCATACGGTTTGTGCGTACAAGGGCTATTTTTAGAAAAGAAGTTTTCTGTTTTACGTCATCCCATTCAGGCTGTGAAGCAGAGGTTTCCTTGTCAGAAACAATTAAAACAAAGCAGGCTGGGATAACTCTTCTGATTAGTCTTATCTGCCAAAAATACACACAACCAATTTGTATCAAAATGTCAAAAGAATCACCCCCCTAAAGATAACAAGTATGCAGCACTGTCTTTTTTTTTAATTATTGTTACTCTGCTGCATTAAGCCTCTGTATCTGCTACATTTCACAGAGGGAGGCATACCCAATCTCCAAAAACAAACGGTGGAATGTAAATTGACTTCCTACAACAGAAGACCTATGCCAAAGTCATCAATATTTAATCCTTACATCTGGTAGTGACATTCCAGGTACAAATGTCCTATTTTTTTCTTAATACCTAACAAATCAATCACCTACAATTAAGACATATCATTTTTCTCCCAAAGAGATGTCATTTTATTGGCCACATTGACACTAACAATTTGTTTTTAACAGCCAGTTGTCTTAAGATTTTGTTAACATTAATTGCTATTATAAATGCCCATGCGCCACCAATCAATTCGTCCCTATTGGCAGAGCTACTAACAATATATATGAGTATGATCTGATCTTAATACCTGGCTCATCTGTTCATTCTACTGAGTCGCAAAACAGATAAGTATTGATTACTTCCATCCTGTTGGATTTTGCTGATGGAAAAGTCAGCAGACTAAACAACAACCACAAAAGTGTAATTGTAAATTCAGTACTTGTCCGAAGTGTACTCAGTTTTCAAATTAAGTTTTTTTTTTCTTGTTTTTGTTTTTTGGTGCTACAAGCATACTATATGATTTTTTCGAAGCAAAATTATGGGAAAGCTTCAGCAACTGAATAATGAATTAGGCATAAAAGATCAATAAATAAGTTCCCCTCAAACCATTGGCAGGCAATGCCTATGGTAAGGTCTTGGGTGGGTCATACCAAGTTCACTAGCCTTTTATATAAGGATGAGAAGCCAAATGCAAATTGATGGTGGCACCAGAAAAGATTGATGTAAAAGTGCTCTTTTAATTTGTATCCATGATAAATGAATTCCCAGAATTCTGTTTGTACAAAAAATATATGTACTGTATATCATTTGGAATTGAAATTTAATATAAAATTTTTTAATGTGCATGGCCAAAAATATTTTGAAAATGATCTATCAATGTCATGCAATCTGATTTAACAATTTTTACAACCAAGTTTAAAGATTTTTCCTGCAAGTCAAACCTTTTTCAAGATCCAGTGAGTTGGTGCTATTTTTTTTTCAGATCAACCTATGGAAATAACCAAATATATGTAATCCAAATCTTAAAAGGATATAAAGTACAGATTCATCTGAAAGAATTTTAAAATATAAGTGACATTTTCTTGAGCAGTATTTCTATCTAGCTTCAAAATGTATTTTCAAGTAATGTATTTAAACTGCTTAATATCGAAAGCAAGCCCATTATCATTGAAATTTCATGGATGAGTAATGCACCTAAGGTCTCGATATTTCCAAAGGTTGAGCACCTTTTTTCTCTTTGATAAACAACTTGCCTGGAAAGTATTGTACAAGAATTACAGAGGGGTGAGGGTTATACAAGCTTCATTAAACAGTGGGGAATGTAATAAAGCCTGCCTAGCATTCACATCTTATCCTAGAAACACGACAGCAGCACTACCAAATGAGTGAAATTGTTTACACTTACTGTGAAGATGGGCAATTTAAAGAAACAGAAGCCTATATTGCATGCACATCTACTTAGTTTTAATGAGGAATGAACAATAGCAATTACTGCAAATAAATTCAAAATAACCGATTTCAAGTGCCCAAGATAACATTGGCACCATCTCAAGAAACCTCTGTAAGGATTGGGATGCTTCTGTTTTCCAGATGAAGCAATGCTGCAACAGTACTGCAACCTTTCCAATGGCAATCACCAGTCCAAATAGTGCTGAGCAATGAAACCCTAATGTTGGCTTTAAATTTGCACCTAAAACTACCTGGTGCATATCTTTCAACAGATAAACTGTTCCCTCTTTGTGATTTTCAGATTGATTTATACCAACCTTGGCTTTCCCTCCATAATAGTTCTCGTTTACACACACATAAAAACTTTGGACGACTTATCTATTAACCTTAACAATCACATGTAACCCAGAAATTCATACCATTCCATTTACTCTTTGTCCCTTCTATGAAAAACGGGTATTACTATGAAGTCAGTGATAAATGATTTGGGCAATTGCCTTGACCTCACCTTTGTAATCAATACATCAATGTCAATTCCAGTCTCTAATCAGATGACAGGGCTAAGTTCAGACCTTTTTTCACTGGATATTTACTCACTACTATAACAAATATTGAGCAGAATGTCTTTTTGAGAAGTTTGCTACCTGTAGAGGTAAAAGAAACAATGTATAGGGAAGGTTTATTGGTACTTTTGTATTGATTTTGAAGTCTGCAGATAGGACTATTTATTCTGGTCCTAATTAATAGATAGTTCTGATCAAATGAAGATTTCATGTATGTGCAGGAAATTGCTCTGTTTGTACAACTACTATTCTAGTGAATTGTGACTTCTAGCCTATTTGACAACTGCCAAATAATGCTTTAATGAATATCCAAGATTGCTATCATTTACTGCCCATATAAAAAACCATTTCAGAACATTACAATTGCAGCACAATTATGTCAAATTAAGTACATGAGGCTAAGTTGCTTTTAATTACAGTAATAAGAGAACCTGCACTTGCATCAGAATAATTGGAACAGATACAAACTGAAGTACACAAGTAAGTAATGCTTAGAAAATGGTGAAGAAAACCAAATTATCCACGACATATATATAAATATTGTTGCTTGACCCCAAGAACCTTGTAAGGTACAATGTTTACTGAAAAAGAATTAAATGTATAAAAGTCCAGGCTAAAGACTCCAAGAATCCATTCAAATCTTTGACCCCAGTGTAAGCTCTTAGAAAAACAAGTTGTTTACATAACCTGAAATAGGACAACATTTTAGTACAACTTAGAATGCTGAAAGATATTGGCTAATATGACAAAGATACTTTAAGAAAATGTTTCAACATTATCTTCCTCAAGTAACATTATTAACCTGGAAATTTGGAAAGACATTTATACATTTTCACCCAACTTCTCTGTGCCCCCCCCCCCCCCCCCCCCCCCCCCCACCTCTCTGTGCCCCCGGGGGTCCCCCTTGAAAAACTTCTTTTTTTTAATTTTGAGCAAGGGTGTATGTCATTATTTTACATTGTCTTGCTTGTCATATGCCAAATTTTATTCATTTTAGGTGATTTTTATACCAGAATTTTATTTCCGACACCACCATTTTGACATTTGCACAGAATAATGTGAAGCAATAGATTATATAGTGTCATAAATAAAACAATAAAATTCAAAACTCATTCATATTTATATCACCTATTTGAATTTCAAGTAGCCTTGTCGCAATTTAATTTATGACAAACATTTATTACCTAGACAAACGACCATACGCCTAGAATGCCCTAACTACCCCTGCCATCAAGATCTGGTTCTAAACTAGATGGAATCATTTTTGTGTCCATGCTTACTCTTTGAAATTTTCTTTACTATTAAAAGAGGATGCAGGAAGATAATGCTGCACTCTTTTTCAAAAAATGAAAGATGCAGCGACAAAAATCGTCTTAATGCACTACAAATTTGAAATGAATATGAGTTGCTTAATTTAAAAAAAAATTGTTTCCTGCATGCACAATGTCTACAAGTAAGTTCTATGAAACAATTAAAGTTAAGAAAAACTCGTGTGTTATGAAATTTACTGACCAGCTTAGAACATACAAGGTACGATTATTGAGTGATCTATTACATTGATTGAATGAAATGAGGCACAAATAATGACCTAGATTTATGAAAACCTTTTTACTCAAGTATTTAGAGCTGTTGTAAGAATAACTGATCATTTCAAGAGACTTTTTGGCAAAGAAACAATGTCTCTTTACGTTAATCGGTCATGGTTGACGCAATACTTCAGCTGTATTGGTCTACTAAAAAACAGTTAACTACGTCACTTTACTGATTTTTTAAATTTACACTGAAAAGTCCAGCGTAATTACCGATCATAATTTTAATGCATTGCAATGTCCTTATGTGGTCTATACATATATTACAAGAGGCGGTGACGTAGGTTATTTTCTTCCATTTTAATCTGGGTGGCAATCTCCTTTAAGGCTATCAGAATTCTTTAGAGTCTTTGAGTCAAAGTACGGCTGTGTGAATAATAAATTCTTTAAAAAAATAACATTTGATACGGTGTGCTAATCTAGACCCAACATGCCCAAACCATGCAACAATTTAATTTCCATATACCCAAGCTTATAGACAGCCTTGAGGATTCGAAATGCATATTCCATCCATACTACAGTATATCATCTACTGCTAGAAAACAAAATTAGATTCATTTTCTCTAAGAACAGTCACGTACAGGAGTGAAAGGATAGTCAATGACCAATGAAGTTATTTTTGAATTGATCATTTGAACTATGTATTTAACAATGAATAAGTCTTCCTCTAGATCAGTAATTCACTGTCTACAGTTATGTTCTAATACACTTTATGTACATCCTGTTTGTCATAATACAAGTTAATAAATGGTACATCTAGTATGAAATTCACTTCCTTCTAGCTGTTAAAATTACCCAGTTGAGATAGCTTTATCTCTAAGACTTCATCAAATGTAACATTAGCTTCTATGAGCCCCTCTGTTTATCATAGGTGTATTATTTTTCAATCAAATATTCTTGTACTGAAGTTCAATAAATCTAAATTCTTCTTATCTTAGGTACACTACTAACTTTTTTGATATTTGATAGTTGGGCATTTACTTGTTGAGGAGGAAACAGGGTTCAAATCCCAGTTGGATCAAATCAGATTTTTTCTAAAACAAGGTGCTACCAATTTTGCATTTGCCAAAAAGGTTTAATTAAGGTGATGGTCTTTCAGAGGAGACTTCCAGGACTGGGGCCCCCAGTCAGAGTAAGTGTAGATTTGATAAAGAACCCCTCTGTCATACTGGCACAAGTCCACAGTCAAGTTCTGTATTTGGCACTGTATCTATAGAGGGTGCTGATAGGAGCAAACCATTCTACTAAGGACTGGAAACTCCATAAAGTCAAATAAACCAAAATAGGATAATTGTCCAATCCCCCTCAGTGTCAGTAATTCACTAGTAACAGACAATGTCTATGCCCACTGCTAAGAAGTTACAGACACTGTCTATGACCCATGCTAGGAGCTATAATTCTAAATCTTCTACCTTTGAAGTTTTATTTAACCTCTTCTGATACATATAACATGTAGGTCAGTGAGTGTATAAAGTTTGCTCCTATTTTATCAGGTGGTAGTTCAAATACCTGTATGTAGGTCAGTGTGCCAGAAACTTTCAGTCCAATTTGGCCCCTCAATTCTTCACTTGAGAACATAAGAGGTGATGACCTCAGATTTCACTTTTCTGACAGAAATAGCACATCATTTAGCTTTTTCAGGTATTTGGCTTCTATTGTAAGATATCCATGTTATCTTGAAATTGGACACAAGGTATATATATTTCTATTATTGATGTACCTCTCAACAGGTACTATGCATTTTAAATGACACATCAGAAACTAGCTGACATGCTACACTATTAAATATAATAACCCATATCTATAGAATAGATCAGATGATGATTTCAGGGTCCTTGGTCTCTTGGTAAACTCTCATTGTTGTGTTCAAGGAGCACAAAAACCTCAAACTCAAGAAACAACTAATTTCTGTTTACAGTTGTACTGTTCGTACTAATCACATTTATATATTGACTTACCTTGGATAGTTCTTTTGAAGAATGCTTTACATGCTTCACAAGAGGACACCCCATAGTGGTAGCCTGATGCCACATCACCACACACCAAGCAAAGTCTCTTTGGTAACTCAATGTTGTCCTGATCACAATTAATGGAATTTGTGATGGAAGTAGCAATATTGTTAATGAAGTCTAATTTGCTTGTGTCAATGGGAGATGGACTTTCATCAATGCTGCAAGGGGATATGTTACCACTATTGTCTGCACTGTTTCCTTGGTAAGAACCATCTGAGCCGTAGTCGTCATTGTGATAGTCTGCAAAGACGTCGCGGCCGAAGCTTTCTTCCAAGGACAGGGAATGGCCACATCGACTGAGACCTAATGGGCTCCCCGGCTCCATCTTTATAATATCGACATCCATCATGAAGCCTGTTTAGTTTGGGAACTGTTCAATATCAATATATTTTTTCTCTCGAGTTTCTCACCACACGGGAAGATTTTTCTTCAATAGTTCCAAAAATACTGGACCAGCAATTGTCACTTTCTACACTATTTTCTTTTTCTGTCTTTTATCACTGAAAAGATATCAATAAAACACATTTTCAATGCCACATTGCAATGATAGTAAAATTGATTTTTAAATACTTCGCATTTGCGTCAGCAGTTATTGTGAGGACCATATAATCGTGGGGGGAGTTCAATAGACACATTCTGTAGATCAACATCTGATCAATGAATTAATGTAGTAGTAGTATGTGCAGATCTGTCTGACAACGTCAACTTCTCGTTCAGCAGAAAGAAAGATTCTATAACCTAGTGAATGACAAAGCAAACTGACTTGAAACGTCTACGTCTCTCACACAAATTTTGAATTGGCCTTTCATTTACTCCAACTTGAGAAAACTCTGGTCTTATAATAAAATACCTTATTATGCATATTTGAACACCCAATCATCATGATGTTGGTTTTTCATGTTTTCTCAGAAGATATAATGATGTTAAACAATCAAAAGGTATTATTACACAGTCAGTCTTATTCAAACAGTTCCAGGAAACACAAAAAAGTCTGAAGTTCAGCAAAGAGTTAGACAATATATCGTCGCTGCGCTTCCAAAACCTCGTAAGTCAAAATATGCGCAAATTTTTTTTCCCCTATTTTAGAATTGATACCCCAGCCTCCATATACACTCAAAATATCGTAACTCTACGCCAATCAGAAGTCATAAAATTATACATGTGACAAAACCTCGTAAATCTATTGGTTGTCTCAGCTTATTCCAAAATATCGTATGTCAAAAGAGAAAAAACATTGAAGTTGCAGATGACTGAAAATACAGGTAAATTGTCACTTTTATTAAATATTTTGCTCAATTAATAAATTAATATGCCATGAATATGCTTCTTTACTACATGTACACGCTGAATTCAATTTAACAGTGTAAAAGAGAAGAGATATCGTCTGATCAGCAACGAATAAACGATTTTCCCCCTGTTTTTGACTTCGCAAAGTTTAGGAAATAAATCTATGTCATTTTGATATCATCGTTTATATTTTTAATGCTTGTTAAAATCAATAAATACTTCATTCAAACTTTTTTTCTGCAGATACGAGGTTTTGTAATTTTAACTTGAATGAATAATACGTGACATACGACATTTTGAAAAAACCTTTGATTAAGTTGACAGTCATTTTCAAATTAGATAAGTATGTTAATATAAGGTTTTGGTATGTATCCTATTAATATAATAAAAATGCGAGTTGTATTTTACATTTGAAGGTGCCAAATATTTTTTCTGTTAGTCTATAACAAATCAAACCATATGCTCGTATTTTCACTTTTGTAATTTTAAAATCTAAATAACGATTTTTTAGATGTCAGATTCTGAAGAGGAATGGCCTGAATGGACTTGTTTTGAGTGTCATCGCGTTGCAGTGAACTCTGGTTGCCTTGATTTGCAAATGATTACAAAGGAACATGTAATACTTGTTGATGTAAATGGAGAAAAATGGGTGCGGTGTATATGTAATAAGAGATTTCATTTGAATTGTACAACAAATCTTCCTAAAAGCGTCAAGGAATCAGATTTTAAAGACATATATATTTGTGATTATTGTGGTTGGTTTATGATTGGGGCATACGGGAAAATGCAACAACCTTGTAAATGGGGAAGAACTTACACAGATGTCAACACAAAAGTACATCCAATTCAACCGGTTGTATCACTTTTACAAGGTAGAGAACGTGGAGATTACTAGAAGAGGCCAGCAATTTCAATTTATAGAAAATATTTATTATTCCTGGTTTCCAGAAACAACACCAAGAGCAATAATAATTGAAAGACAAGGTAGCGATTACAAAAAACTTGAATTCAAATTTCATCCTAACTGCAAGAATGGCTGTTAATTTGCCTCTATCTCGTGGACAGCTTCTTTTGCAACTATCTTTAAATAAAAACAAGGAAATTAGTCATACAAACGAATTTAGAAATTTTCAAATCCAGGGATCGGTTGTTACAGAATCAGTAGACGAGAATGAAAAAGATCAACGTGATGAAAACGATAACATGCAATATGAAAACGATCTTCACAATGAGTCTGATGATGAAATGCTGTATGATAGTTCTGATGATCCAGTTTGGCAGCCGAAAAAAAGAAATGTTACAAAGCAGCTCAGACAGCGAATCAGATTGTAGCAGTACGCGTAAAAGAAAGAGAAGAAAAACGATAAAAATCAAACAGATCAAGAAAAACAAAACTGTTACTAGTAATTTCACGAATAAATCAGTCAATGATACAAATGCAAAAGTCAATAATATTGGTGAGGAAATCGTAAGAACTGATAAAAACCAAGGGGCTCCTTGTAACATTTCCAATGAACCCATTAACGACGAGCAGATTCCATTTGAAAGAGAAGTGATTCTTGGGGAGCAGAGTCAATCAGAAACTGTACCTCCTGAACAACTGCAAGTAGACCAAAACAACGAGTCGGAACATGAACAATCAGATCCTGAAACTCTTGATGATAGACAAGAAATTCATTCAGAGATGGCCAATGACATGAGAACCGCACAGGAACCTAAGAAAGATAGAAAAAGAAACCCAACAGACTGGGAGAAAAATAAGCAAAAAGCATTACGAATGCAAGGAAAAGGCTATAAAGGGATGACGAAAATTTCCGGTCACTATAAATTTACAGTAGAGAGACCAGAAAGAGTGATGAAAGAAAGAAAGTGCTCAAGGAAGTGTCAGAACTGTTCTTCGATAGGCGAGGAAGAAAGAAGAAGCATTTTCAATCAATTCTGGAACAATATGGACTGGGATCAGAAAAAAGTTTACATTTCAACGTTGGTGGATGTGAAAGGTTGTAAACAGAGGAAGCAAGACAAAGATATAAGCAGGCGTTCTAGATCTCTAGTTTATCATCTCAAACGAAACCATGAAAGGGTTCCAGTTTGCAAAGCCATGTTTTTGCTTACCTTAGGCATTGGTGAAAAGACCGTTTATTCGTGGATTGATAATGCAGATAGGGGAATTCCAAAGCCACCCACCCAAAGACAGATACAAAGTCGAGCCCCAGAAAAGGTTTCTTTTGCTAATGACTTTTTGAAACAACTACCAAAGATGCCATCACATTATTGCAGATCATCTACCTTGAAACAGTATTTGGAACCAACTTTTAATTCCTTCTGTGAACTCTACAATGAATACATTGAAAAGTCCAAACAATGTAACCAAGCATTCCTGTCAAGGAAAACGTTTACAGAAGTATTTGAAAGCCAGAACCTCTCTTTATTCAGCCCTAAGAAAGATCAGTGTGATACATGTTGTGGCTTTGAGACAAAAAATATATCAGAAGAGATCTACGCGAAACATTTAGAGATGAAGACAGCAGCACGCACAGCAAAAGAAATTGATAAAGATAAAGCACTCAATGAAGACAACCTGAAAGTAATTGTTTTTGATTTGCAGGCCCTGCTACTTTCCCCTATGTTGAAAGCAAGCTCTATGTATTACAAAAGTAAACTAGGTTGTCACAATTTCACAGTATTTGATTTGTGTACGAAAGAAGTGACGTGCTACTTTTGGCATGAAGCGGAGGGCGATTTATCAGCAAATGCATTTGCCTCATGTATCATGATTATGTAGATAATCTTGTCGAAGAAGTCATCATGTACAGTGATGGATGCAATTATCAAAATAGTAATGTTGTGTTAGCTAACGCCTTATTAAAAATATCACATGATAAGAACATTCGAATTGTTCAGAAAATTTTGGAGAAAGGTCACACGCAGATGGAGGTATGCGTTCATAGTGTAATTGAGAGGAAACTTCGCAACAAACCAATCTATATTCCACAAAATTATGTCGACATCATTTTTTACCGTGAAGTATTTGACACATGACTTTTTCAAAGATTTCACCACCTTGAATTACTACCAGTCGATCGACCTGGAAGCAAAGCTGGCGAACCTACCGTTACCGATCTCAGGGTGTTGAGATACCTACCTAATGGTACAATAGGATACAAGTTGCATCATGACGGGGAGAATTTATGGAATTTCCAAGACGGGCTAGAATTCGGTCACCCTCAGATGATTTTGTTGGAAATTTATACCAGCGACGAATCAAGATTATTTCCCCTCGACTATCACCCTTTTTATGACAACTTGCCACACCAATGAGAATGTCAAACTTAACTGACAGTTGGCCACACTTTAATGAGAATGTTGTACTTACCTGGACTTCAATTTCAATTTTTTTTAATTTATGTTGATTATGATTTTATTTTTCCCTACAGTAAAGCTATACTGTTTATTTGTTCTAAATTGTAGCATTAGAAATAAATTTTTGCAAACACATAGCATGTTATCATTATTTCATGTTTGGAATGAATTTTACACGGCGAATCCTATAGATCATAAAGGTTTTCAATTCATGAACGGGATGAAAAAGGAGAACATGAACCACTTATGATCTCATCTCTACTTTGTATAATTGAAACCGTTATTTATCAATTATGGGGCAAAAATAATTTATTAATATGTAAAAACGATATGTGACAAAAGGTCGTAAGTACCAGAAAAAATACAAAAATAGAGACAAATCATCGTAAGTCCGCTATGATCTGTACTATGCACAGTAGATAAGATTGCAAATCTTCATCTTCAAAACAATGGCTATTAATCATAAATGTGAAAGCAATTTTGATATGTCACTAAAAGGAAACAAATTGAACAGTTTTTTGCCTCTTCTGAAAATTATCAATTATTGACTTACGAGGTTTTGGAAGCGCAGCGACGATATGTCAGATAGCAATCACTCTGCATGCTCCCCCATCCTCCTAGCATATGCTCCTCATACATTCCAGATAACCCTCTGTGTATGTAACATTGCTTGTTTTCAACAATATAAGAAACCACTGTTCATATAGATATCTCTCATTTTAAACAGATATCTTACTCTCCCTACCTTAACTTTTGTTTAACCTAGCTGCATGTATTTGAGTAAAAAAGCGATCAGCTGGTTAACCACTAGTCCACTGCTGTATTTAGATAGCATGTCAATGAACTTTAATGGGCATATAAGATTATTAAATGACACTATTTTTAAGTATATTTTTACAGTGCACCCATTTCTGACAGCAAAATCTCTCTTCTTCACAGTTTCATGAAGTTTGACATTTTGAGACCTATTCTATGAAAGTCAACTGTTGTCACAAAAAAATCTACCAAAAGACAGCCAGCAAACTCTGAAGCCTGAATTCATTGCATGATCTCAGCAAACAGCTAAAGCACACCTGTTATCAATTGCAGACATTAGTAAAACCTGACCAAAATATTAGTTCAAGTGGCCCTACCTCACTGAGGAACAGGTATCCTACTTCTATATCGATCCATTTACACCATGTGAGTCTTGCGCAATATCTCTTGTACATTTCTAGCATGGTGCAAACGTGACACGGTTTTTCAGAAGAATTTCATCATTCATCATAAGTGTAAATACTAACAGGATGTTTGTGCGTAGATAGTGCAGCTTGAATTATGGTATTATGTCATAGTAGTTTTACTTTTTTTTGAGTGTAATATTGTCAGTTCAAGCAGCTAACACCACAATCACATTACTCGGCCAAGGAAACAATGAGTTCTCCCAGTGTAAAACAGTTTTTCAAAATCAACAGGACGTTCATTTAAAATTTCCACTGATTTTTCCGTTTCAGAAATGATATTTTCCCATGCACTCAAGGAATTATTTGTTGCATTTTCTGTGCACTTCTGTGAAATTATTTTCCAAATTAAAATTATGATATATTTGTTAGAATATTAAATTAAAATAATATTGGCAATTAACAAAGTTGAAATCATTCCCTAAAATATAAACAGTAGCTGTAATTTGTAAAACTACATGCCAAAGATGTTGACCCATATACAGTCAGCTGTGCCTCAAAATCAGCTGATCATACAATTCACTTATGACTTCTTTACCTATCTATTATCAACCAAAAAACACTCAAAAACTTCCCACTGACCTTCTGTAAGTATAAGATAGCTCCTGTGCATCAAATATATCCCAATTTGTTGTACTTATCTCAAAATTCAGTAGAAATTCACACAAAAGCCTGGGCACACAATGCCGGCTACTACACCATGTGGTCTAGCAATGCTCCTATTTCCTGCTTGCTCTACCTTCACACTCGCGTGGAGGATTACTAAGTACACAGCTGAGTGATTGCCTATCTCTCGCTAACAGCTACATATTTTATTCTGTGTCACATGAATTTAAATGTGCTGATTTTTCAGGTAGTGGTCGGTAAAGAGCAGAAAAAAACATCCAGAACTACTTACAATAGGTATTTATCAGAGAGATTTGTTTTTTCACCTCTGTAAACACTTTTGTACCTGTGAGATTATCTTAATTAAGATTTTTATACAGTACAGGTATATTTTTCAGAAACACTTTTATTTAGCAATTAAAATATATATATTGGGATTGAAAAAAGGGTTAAGAACAGATTCTGTTTATACATTAACTTGAAATTGAAAACCATGTTTTTACAGTCCTGACAAAAACACAACAACAGGAGTTAACAAATAAACAGGTAAACAAGGTGTAATTGATTAGGTGTATATTTTTCTTTGACAGGTGGTCTTACCTGGGTGAAAATTTATGTGCTGCTCTATCAACTGAGGTTTTTACTGTACAATTTCTACACAAAAAGTGTACAGATTTTACAAGGACTTCAAAATTACAAAATCTCATCAAAACTACCAGAGCAAATAAAGTATTAAAACTTAAAGAGAAGTTAGAATGAAGGGTTACAATCATCAGAGAAATCAGTGTACATCTCTCTTCAAAAGCAATTATTTTCTTCATGTCTCCTATCAATATTTCATTGAGAATCTACTTTAGGGATTGCTGTTTTTGTATGAATTTGAACCTACACAAATATAAATCCTCCTCCCATAGGTAACAGATGGTGAGAATCATATCCTCATCTTAATGAAACACAGGACAAGTTAACCCAGTCAAACAAGCATGTGTAAACTCATCAGCTCTAATATACACTGCAGGAGCTCTTTCTTCATTTAAATCTTTTTTAATGAGTCGATTCTTGCTATTTGAAATCTGGACTATCAAAAATTTAATATGACAACACCCAAATTGTGTGGCATGTTAGCTGTTCATTGGTTTTTCATGAAAGTTTTATTAATATGCAGTTTAAGGACAGAGTGATTTGTCATGCTGTATTAATTAGCAGGTTGAGACAAGTCTGGTCTTAAAAGGAAATTTCCATTTAAATTTAGTTATTCAGCAAATTAATAAATGCTTTTAAGTAGCGACTTGAATCCCAAATCTCTCTGTAGAGCTAACACAGTGCAAGTTTGTTTAATATGACATGATACTATGTCTTTGAAATAGTGTGCCTAAATGAATAAGATCATAATATTATCAATACATGAATAGAAACAATGGGAGGTTTCTATTCATATTAAGTCACATATTATAAGTTTATGAAATCTAAAACAAAAATTCCAAGTGAAATCAAAGTACTGAAATAATGTAAATTTTAATATTCTGACAAATGTGGGTTGTTCAAGATAATAAGAGCTGAAAGGTATGGAGTACTAGCTGTCTAGTAGTCCAGTAACTCCTCAGAATTGAAGCTGAGCAATAATCTTGAAAGAACATTCCCTAGGGTTTGGCTGTCAAAGGTTAGAAAGGTCCTGATAGGTTGTGATGTAGTTAACAGATTGAAGGTTAGCCCTTTAATGAAGCATCTGATACTGACTTTTGTTAATTTTAAAGAAAGGAATGGATTTAAAATTTAGAATAGAATGGAATTTAATTAAGCATCATTTCCTAATCACAAAAACTACAAATACTTTTTTGAAAACAAATTTAGCAAACTGTCAAGCAACTGCTATTTGTTAATTTGGCCCCATTATGACTCGGACTGGAAAGTTCTGCGGGCTGCTTCTGCAATTAGTCTATTACTGGTAGTGACATACAACTTGTTCTGATTTCCCTTTCAGTTACCTCCTCAGGGTTTAGAAGTGGAATGCTGCAAAATCAATAGGAAACCGTCCAGATTTGATGGACAACCTTTGCAGAATTGGGAAATCCTCCATTAATCAAAATCTAATGCAATCAATTGTATTACCTCAAGTAAATTCAGATTAATAAAATGCCTTACACACAGTTAAGGAACCTCAAATAGTAAATGGTAAATTATAGCTCCAAATGTTTTATTTAAATCAAATGTCAGTAATCTGCTGTAACACATCATTTCTGTGCTGCAGAAAAATTCCAATATCTCTTGAATTCTGTAAACTCC